ACCCAGCCGGCACATCTTCGGACTGTGGGAGGAAACCGGAGCGCCTGGAGGAAACCCAATCAGACATGGGGAGAATGTGCAAACTCCACACAGACCTGAGGGTGGAACTGAACCTGGGTCCCTGGCAACGTGAGGCAGCAGTGCTAACCACAGTGCCACCATGCCGCCCCAAGAGGTGTACAAAGAAAGGAGCTTTCTCTTTCAATTAAAGTAGTATCTGTGAATCCTAAAAGTTTCAAATTCCTAAGTGTTTTGCAGCTGAGTTTGAAATCTGATCTGAAGATCTTCCATCGCTCTACAACCAACAGCAATCAGATCTCACTGAAAGGAAACCAAGGAACGGAGAGATGTCAATCAGTTCTATCTTCTGTACACAAACCTTTGCTCTTTTTTTGCCTATTTTTCCCACCACTCATGATCCAGTCACAGAGCTGTATGAACTTGTCCTATGTGTGAACTGTGTTATGATCAAGGGGAAAATGGTTTAACTCTGTACAGTAGCTCAGTTGATAGCCAGTTTGGTCCCATGTTTGAAGCACAAGTTCATTTCTAATGAGAATTTAATTTTTTGGTTTACTGAAGAAACCAAGTGAAAGTCTCCTCTGTTCTAGGTAACAGTAATAAGGAGAAACAAATTGACTACATTGTTAATTATCAAGATATTTATACTTTTAATAAGACTCAGACTAATAGGGCTTGATTTCTAGTAAATTTCTCTCGTCATAGTCTGAACAGCTTAGAATCAAATATGATCACAAAGTAGCAAAAAAATTGATCTCAGCCTTAGACAGTGCTCAAAATCATTAGTCTTTTCCCCATACTATTCCAAAATCCTGGAAATACCTGCAATATACCAATGCCTTTACAGAAAAATGTTAGAAAGCTTAATTTTATACCTGTACAAGAAATAACCCCAAAATGGCATGATGGCTCAATGTTAAGCACTGGTGCCTCACAGCTCCAGAGACCCAGCTTTGATTTCAGCCTTGGGTGACTCTGTGGAGTTTGCACATTTTCCCTATATCTATGTGTGTTTCCTCCAGGTGCTCTGGTTTCCTCCAATGATGTATAGGTTACATGGATTGGCCATGCTAAATTGCCCTGTAGTATCCAAGGATGTGCAGGCTAGATGGATTAGACATTGTAAATGCAGGGGTGCAGGAATAGGGTGGGAGGCCCTTTAGAAGGTCAGTGCAGATTCGATTGCTGAGTGGCCTTTCCACACTGTAGGGATTTTCTAATTCTAAAACCTTGTGCAACCTCAACTTGTCATCTTCGTTAGTCATAAGATGCCAAGTTGTTGTTTCTGACAGACACAGTATGGATTTAACAAGCTAACATTAGGTATGATCTTGTGATTGGAGAACACTTCCAAACAACACTGAAAATGCTAGGAATTACACTGAATCAATTTACAAACATTATTTGGGTTTGTAATGTGGTCCACTTACACTTAGAGTCATACAGCATTGATACAGACCCTCACTTACTAAAAGTTACATATATTTTTATATGTCAGGTGATAGCTTAGTGGCATTATCACGGGACTATTAATCCTGAAACCCGGGTAATGTGCTGGGGAGCAAGGATCAAATACCATCATGGCAGATGGTGGAATTTGAATTCAACAAAAAAAAAAAATCTGAGATTAAGAGTCTAATGATGATCATGAACCAGTTGCCAATTGTTGGAAAAACCCATCTGGTTCACCAGTGTCCTTTACCGAAGAAAATTTGCCATCCTTACCCTGTCCAGCCTACACGTGACTCCAGATCCACAGCAGGGTGATTCTAAACTCCACTCTAGGCAATTAGGGATGCGCAATAAATTGTGTGGAGCTGGAGGAACACAGCAGGTCAGGCAGCATCAGAGGAGCAGGAGGGTCGACGTTTCGGGTCAGGATCCATCACATTTTATGCTCAGTGTACAAATTATTCCAAGTTTTAGGATTTTGGAGGCCTCAAGAGTTGGCTTACGCAGCAGCATCTACTGTTGTATCAAGATCATTAATCCCATTACAAAGACATGGGAAACCCCACTGTACACCTTTCTCCAAACTGTAAATCAACCTTCACCACAGTTACATGTTATTCACCATTGTGAATTCCTTTCATTCCATGGTCTTTAACTTTCCTGGCAATTTTATTCTACACGACAATCATTTCTGCTATCTCATCTAAAAGCTGAATAACACAGTTAAACATGAGGTAGCTTTTACAAAACTCCATCCCTATACTTGTCAGCTATACTTGTCTAAATTTGTTAATTCTATCCTAGATTATCTCCAAAAGCTTTCCCATCACCATGTTAAACAAATTGGCCTGCAATTGCTGCTTCATCCTTGCATCATTTTTTGAACAAATGTGTTACATTTTCAATTTTCTAGCCCTCTGCATCCATCCCTGTATCTAAGGAACATTGAAAAATTATAGCCAATGCCTCTTCAATTGCCATTCTTACTTCCCTTAGCATCCTAAGATATATCCCATCCAGTTTTGGTGTCTTAATTTCAAGTAATAACATCAGCTCATTACTTATGAATTTTTAGGTTAACCAATATGTCAACTCTCACTATGACTTTGGACGCATCATTGTCCTCGATAAAGATAGATGCTCATCCAGTACCTCAACCTCCATGTACTACTTAATCCCTGACTGGTGCTACCCTTTAACTGATTAATCTTTTACTGTTTGTGCTCGTAAAAGAATTTTGGATCACTTTATACATTAACTGCCAGTATCTTCTCATACTTAACTTCGTATCATGTCACATGTTTCCATTTTTCCTTTGAACTTCTACATTCAGTTCATTTCTTAACTGTAACAGCAACCTGGCATTTGACATACGCACTCTTGGTCTTCTTCATCTTCCTCTCTTTTGGTGCTCTCGTCTTGGTTGCCCTATCTTTCCCCTCCATGGGAATGTATCTCAATGGTAACAGACTTTAATGTTGCCAATTGTTTTAGTTTTGCCTGCTAATATTCAATTCCAATTTATCTGCAACAGACTTGTTCATGCCTCCCTTAATTGGTCCTTCTCTAGTCCAGCACTTTTAATTCTGGCTTGCTCCTTGATCTTTTCAAAACTATAATATAACGATCACTTCATTCAGTGAATCTACCTTATTCCCCAAAACAACATCATGGTACATATTAGGATAACTGGAGTCCTCCAGTTATTATTTTAGCTTTTGTATCTCTGCTAATTCTCCATGAACATTGTTTATCCTTCCTTAGGCTACATCTTGGTTACCATTTCCCTGTCAAATTGCTTTAAACTTGCCCCAACAACTTAACAAATAGCACCACAGGGAATTGCTTTCAGTTCTGTCAGGTACAACCATATTGGCCTGAACAGTCTCACCTCCACTAGAACTAATGCTAATTTCCCAGGAATCCAGAGCTCTCCCTCCTGTAACATGAATTCATCTGTTTTACTCTATTTCTATACTTAAAATTTGACACCTGGGGTAATCCAGAGATTGCTACCTTTGACGACTTCCTTGCTACCTGTCTAAAATGTACTTGAAAGATCTCATTCCTTTTCTTACTATGCCACTGATGGGGATATGGACATGACCTCCAGATGTTCACCCACCTCACTCCAAGTGCTCCAATGCATTCAGTGGCATCTTTGACCCAGGCAACATATCATCCTATACGTGCAAGTCTGCAACTCCAGAAACACTTACTTACAATCCTAACTATAGAATCATTTTACTTGTGGAGGTTGGCTTCCTCATGCCAGTCTAGTTAAAGACAACCGGTTACTCCAGAAAGGAAAATTAAAAAGGTGGGTGGACAACCATATTCTAAAGGAAAACCAAAAGAACTGCCGATGCTGTAAATCAGAAACAAAAACAAAGTTGCTGGAAAAGCTCAGCAGGTCTGGCAGCATCTGTGAAAGAGAAAACAGAGTTAACGTTTCGGGTCCGGTGATCCTTCCTTAGTTCTGAGGAAGGGTCACCAGACCCGAAACGTTAACTCTGTTTTCTCCTTCACAGGTACTGCCAGACCTGCTGAGCTTTTCCAGCAACTTTGTTTTTGTTCCATATTCTAAAGGTTTGAGACAGCATGGCTCAATGCAAGTTATCAACGAAGTAGCATTCTATACCAAATGTAATTGTAGATCTAAGGTCTTAAAATCAGAGTGTCCAAGAGAAGGCGACAGGCATAGTGGCTATGTAAGTTTATGCAGGCAGATGGAAACAGAGCAAACACATAGGTTTAGAATTTGTATCCATGTGGAATATAGAGGTCTTCAGTTTGTTAGGCCAAACTGCCCCTTTTATCAACAGGCGCAAAGGTACACAAAACAATTTTGGTCGCCTGTTGTGCTACAACAGCAAAAACAGAAGTTGCTGGAAAAGCTCAGCAGGTCTAGCAGCATCTGTGAAAAAAAAAATCAAGAGTTAACGTGTCGGGTCTGGTGATCCTTCCTGAGAACCCAGTTCCTGATTTATGGCTTGCGCTTTCGGTTTTTACGTTATACCACAACAGTGGCCATATGATAGAATGGGCAGAAGGAGCACATTCAGCCGATCCATCGAGTCTGCCCCAACGAAACATCAGCTAACCTAATCACCCTTAACTGCACTCTCCCGCCTTATCCCCATAACCCTTGATTCGCTTACTGATCAAAAAACTCCACCCCTCGTTTGAATACCGTCCCTCCCCTTATAAAATCGCCAATGGTTCTAAAGTTCTTTGGGACGTCTGGAGGTTGTGACAGGCGCTAGAAAAATGCACGTCTCCTTTATGCAGAATATAACAGGGTTCAGTTTCCGAGACGTGCTGGCTCTTTCTCATGGAAGTCACTAAAGCAGCCTCAGACTTCCTCGTTTGGCCCTCTCCCCGTGTGTCCGGCCCACGAGGCTCCACGACAAGGAGGTGTGGACGGAGGGCGATGGGACGTGGCCGCTTGCCGCTCGAAACGGGATCGATCAGCCGGCCGCCCAGACACTGCTCATCCAGATATCACCCCTAGACCGCCCGCTGACCTGGTCCTCCTCGGTGATATCGATGAAAGCCGGTACGCTCATGGCTACCACTCCAACCGTCTCTCCACCTCCCAACAGGGCCACTTCCGGCGTGATCGCGTCATTTCCCGCCCGCCGTCTCTTAAAGGAGCCATCACTTTCCTTCAAGGGGACTGTCTCTCCTGTATCCCTTGTTACAGAGCAAGTGACAGTGTAGCAAAGTGGGGTGCGGTGAGATATGTGATAGGAAATCCTGTTGTAAAAAAATACAAGGGAAATGTATTTCGGAAAGAGGTACATAATGCTACTTGCACCAGAAAGTGAACCATTTTTAACCTAAAGTGAAGCAAAGAACTGCTGATACAGGAGATCTGAAACAAAAAACAGAAATTGCTGGAGAAATCTGATGTGTACCCCAGCCACGCACATGAAGGGTCCCGACCCGAAACTTCCCTGCTGCTCGGATGCTGCCTGACCTGCTGTGTTCCTCCAGTTCCACACTGTATTGTCTCACACAGTGTCGTTTCTGTCTTTCTTATTTGGTGTCAGTAACCGCTCAGGAAATACTTCTCTAAGGCAGAAGGTTTAAGTTTATATCACACTCTAGAGACTACATCACACACAGACACACTCACACAAACTAGGCTGCTAATTCATAGCAGAATGGCCATCCATTGCGAATTTGGCCTCAGGTTAAGGTGGCACTGTTGCCTCACAGCACCAGGGACCTGGATTTGATCCCACCTTCAGGCAACTGTGTGGAGTTTTCACATTCTCCCCCGGCAGGTTAGGTGTATTGGCCATACTAAATTGCCCATATTGTGCAGTGACGTGCAGGCCAGGTGGATTAGCCATGGGAAATGCAGGCTTACAGTGATGGGGTGGGTCTGGATGGGATGCTCTTCAGAGGATCGGGGGTGGCCTCAATGGTTTTACACTGTAGGGACTCCACAAAGTCCTGCATCAGTCTTGAACTTCTGTATTTCTCATTTGGATATATTATTGTTCAGCAGGCACTTGGTTGGATGGGTGGGAATCCAAGGCAGTAGCACCAGAATCCGATGGCCACACTGATCATGTATTCGGTTGGCAGAACGTCACAATTGGCACCCTCTTAGTGTCTGCCACACAAATATGTAATGTTGTCAGTGAATTTCAGTGCTGACATGATGCAAGGGATGTAGGTTATACATCCCAACTCTGGCAGATCCTATCAAATAGGATATTCTTTTGGCTGTTCCCAATGGATAGAGTCTATACTCAATCAGCCTGTGCTTGCAAAACTCAGGGCATTGTCTCCTATTTTAGAAATGATATCTGATTTGATAACACATGCTAAACAATCCTGACTGTGCTAAGAGTTACTGTAAAACCAATTTAATATTAACAGTCAGACTAGCAATATGGCATATTTGTGCATGCTAGAAGTTACAGATATTTGTGAAGAGATAGAACATGCCCATGCGTTGTGCCCTTTTCAACCTAGCAAAAACTTTGGGGTCAGCATTCCTTAGCGCATTCCTCATGGCGATGTCTTGACGATTCAGAGTCGACTCGCCTGGTTTGAATTTAAACAAAAGCTTGGCAGTAACCTGCTCCTGATTCTCCATTACAGCACCTCAACCAATCACAGCCAACTTTCCAGACCAATAGTCCCCCTCTTTTCACGCAGTATAAATCGTTGTTTTAGTATTCTTGTAATTGCCTCTTAATAAATGCAACAAAAGGCTTTGACAACATTTCACTTTTCCAACATTACATAGGTATAATCCATGCAATTTTCTGGCTGGATTTGTGCTTTGGACTGTTAAGTGACCACTTCCAATAGAATCAAAAAGTGTATTTAATATGATATAAATACTGAGACATTCAAGCATCCTCCAGCAATTCAATGATGAAACATTCAATTTTAAAACTTTACTGAGAACTGAGGAAACATACTAAAGTGAGGTTGGTGGGTTTTAGTTGCCTAGTTGCAGTCTCAGCATATGCAAATTTTTTTGGAATGCAATAGCTCTACTTCATAATAATAATAGTGAATCTTTAAGGTACATAACAATTTCAGATTCATCCACAAAGATAAAAGCAAAATAGATAGCAAGCAACTAGATAGCAAGGCTTCACTAAAGACGTTAGTTTTAAGGAACATCTTGGAGTGGAGGGATGTGGGGATGCATAAGTGTATAAGAAGGAAATCACAGTGTATGGGTCCCAGGCAGCTGAAGCCATGGCCTCTACTGGCATTGGGAATAATGCACTCTATTTCAACCAGTCCATTCCATACTTGAAATTAAAATCTACATTAGATTCTGGTAGTTAATCACATTGTTCTATGTAGAATCCTGATTCATTCATTCATTCTTGTATAAATTGACTGCTGCATTGCCAAATAATACAATAGATGATCCAGCACAGATACCTCACTGGCTGTAAAGCATATGGGAACATTTTGAGATTGAAATGTTTTATATAAATTCAAGTTCTTTGTTTTCAACCCTATACATAAAATTAGATAGAATATACTGATCAAAAACAGGGCTATTACCTTAACAAATCTGTGATGAATCCTGCTCTTACCCTATTTCATCTAATCCCATAACCTTCTATTCCATACCATTATCCAACTTTATCTTAAATGCAATTGTTTTATACACCCAATATACCACCCATGTAGTAGTGGGTTATACACTCTCAACATTCTCTCGCGAAAGAAGTTTCTTTTTTTTAATGTTGGATTTATTAGTATCTATTGCCTTACATCCCAGCCAGACCCACTCTGTCCCCGTAACCTCACATGGCTAATTCGCCTAAGGGCTAAAGTTTGAAAAGTATCAACCCAGGTAATAACTTGAAAAATTCTTAGCATGGTAATTATCAATGTCAAGTAGTGTTGGAACACATAGAACATAATTACAGAACTGTTATGGTACAGAGGGAGGCCTTTCAGCCCATTGTGTCTCTGTATGAACATTTCTTTTTGTGCTATTCTCTCAACTTCTCCTAGTAAACCTGGACAATCTTCCTTTTTGAATGCCCCAATTGCAGAACTTTCATGCCTGGTCAAACCTAGACAGAATGCTCCAGTTGAAGCTGAATCAGTGTTTTTACATATTTTTAAATCATAATTTCTTGTTTTATTCACTATTTTCCATGGATTGTACAGTAGCTAATATAACCCCACTGTTTGAAAAGGGAGGTAGAAAGAAAACAGAGAATTATAGACCAGTCAGCCTGACATCAATAGTAGGGAAAATTCTAGAGTCCATTATAAAAAATTTGACAGCAGTGCACTTGGAAAACAGTGACAGGATTGTATAGAGTCAGCATGGATGTATGAAACGGAAATCATGCTTGACAGATCTATTGGAATTTTTCGAGGATGTAGCTCGTAGAATTGATAAGGGGGAGCCAGTCGATGTGGTCTACTTGCACTTTCAGATGGTTTTCAATAAAGTCCCACATAAGAGATTAGCATTAGTAAAATTAAAGTGCATGGGATTGGCAGTAACGTACTGAAATGGATTGCGAACTGGTTGGCAGATAGGAAGTAAAGAGTAGGAATACACATATCGTTTTCTGAATGGCAGCCAGTGACTAGCAGGGTACTGCAGGGATCAGTGCTCCGATCCCAGATACTCACAAAATATGTAAGTGATTTAGGTGAAGGAACTAACTATAATATCTCCGAGTTTGCAGACAACATGAAGGTAAATGGGAGGATGAACTGTAGGGAGGACGTAGAGATGCTTCATTGCAATTTGGATAAGTTGAATGAGTGGGCATATGCATGGCAGATTAAGTACTGTGTGGATAAATGTGAGATTATCCATTTTGGCAGCAAAAACACAAAGCCAGATTATTATCAGAAAGGGGATAGATTGGGAAAGTGGGAGCTGAAATGAGCCCTGGGTGTCCTTGTACACCAATTGCTGAAAGTGTGCAGGCAGGTGCAAATGGAATGTTAGCCTTCATAACGAGAGGACATGAATATAGGAGCAGTTGTCTCGCTGCAATTGTACAGGGTTTGGTGAGACCACACCTGGAATATTGTTTGCTCTTTTGGCCTCCTAATCTGAGGAAGCATATTCTGGCTATGGAGGGAGCGTAACAAAGGTTTACCAGACTGATTCCTGGCCTGGCAGGACTGATACATGAAGAGAAATTGGATTGGTCAAGACTGTATTTATTGGAATTTAGAAGAATGAAGCGTGTCTCATTGAAAGTTATAAAATTTTAACTGGGTAAGACAGGGTATGGTGCAACTGTAGAATTCTCTGCCACAGAAAGCAATTGTGGCAAAAACATTGAATGTTTGCAAGGAGTTAGGTATAGCTCTTAGGGCTTAAGGGATCCAATGGTATAGGGAGAAAGTGGGAACAGGGTGCTGAGTTGGATGAGCAGTCATGATCATATTGAATGGCTGAGCAGGTTTGAAGGGCCAAATGGCCTCCTGCTCTTACTTTCTCTGTTTATACTTCATGACTCTACTGATGAAGGCCAGGATCACCTAAGCTGTATTAACTGCTCTCTCAACCTGTCCTGCCAACTTAAACCAAGTTGTGATAATGCCCCAGGCAGATTAGTGGGCTCATGGCATGAAAAAAATACTTCATGTTTATGATAAACTTTGGCAGCATTGCTTCTTTGAGTTCTTACATTCCAGTCAATTAGGAAAGGCATCTAAATGAAGAACACAGCCTGTCTCTTCCAATAGAGCTGTCGTTTTAACAGAATATGTTATAGGTTTATAGCCCAGCACTATCACAGACAGTACAAAGTGAATTCATAACAAAAAAACAAAACCTCCTCTTAACCTTCCTGAATGAATTATTGAAATTTGGAGCATGTTTCTAATGAAAATGAGATGATGTAGTCTGTGTTTGTATTACACTTCCTACAAGTTCTAAAACTTCCCATTAACTTTTGATATTAATATTTATTTCCATATAATGAATATAGTTATATTGCCACATGCAACCCTTCATCATGAACATATATTATACTTATCTTTTCTCATATGTATTATACTGATAAAATCTTAAACTTTCCTCTTATCACCTTCTTCTATTTCACGGTTATCTGATCTTTCAAATATCACTTCCCTGTTTAATGGGTCTTTATAA